AAAGGGCACATTCTGCAAGTTTTTCTCCTGGCCGCCAGCTCTCAGTCCCTCTCTTTCCATGAATCTAGAGTCCTCAGCTGCTCCCTCTCTCCATGTCCCCATCTCTGCCTCCATCTCTTGTGTCACTGATTCCCTGGATAAGGTCCTGCATTCTGTTTGTGCTCTTCTCCCTTGATGGTCCTAGGGTCTTCTGTTTCTGGACTGTAAGATTAACTATTCATCATTTTTGTTACAAAACTTCTACCTTTATAATTGTGACAGTCGTAATTAGTCATGATAACTAGCTGTACTCCTTCTAAGACTGATTTGTTCATTTTCCTAGCAGTCGATAGTGTATTTAACATTCTTTGCCAACAACATAGTTCAAAGGCGTGCATTTCTTTGATGTTTCTTATTCCTTATGTGTCTTAAGGCGTTTTACCCCCAAGTGGAAATATTGCAGTATCTGCAGACATTTTTAGTGATTTCAACTGGGAGAAGGTATTTACTGCTGACATTTAATGGTTAGAAGCCAGGAATGCTGACAAACAGCCTATAACGTGCAGGACAGCCCTCACAACAAAAACATTATTTGAACCAAAAAATCAATGGAATTGATGTTGAAAAACCTTGTATAGACTATGTATATAAAAATTCAGATTCATTTTATTGGATTTGTGCTCTTAGGTAGGTCACTTCACCTTCCTAAGCCTTTGATCCTGTGTTTGTTAGCCTGCTTGTGTACTGCACAGTGTTTTGGGCAAGAGGTGTGATAACATATGTGAAATTTTTTGTAACTGTACCTGGAAATCATGTGAAAACACCTATATATTGGGAGTGAATATTAGAAAATTTGAATTTGACTATTGTGCCATTATTATATCAGATGTAAAAAGAGATTTCAAATGGTTGAAAAGAGAAGGGTGGTAGTTATGTGCTGTGGAGTCAGTTCCCACTCGTAGTGACCCTGTATAGGGTTTCCGAGGTTGTACATCTTCACGGGAGCAGAAAGCCTCATCTTTCTCTTATAGAACAGCTGGTAGTTTCAAAATGCTGACCTTGAGATTAGCAGCCCAATTTATAACCAATATACTCCCAGAGCTCCTTGAGAGGCAGTGAGGAAAAGACTAATTTGCAGTGAACATGAGAATAGAGATTGATCTTTTATAGATTTAATAATTTAGTAAGGTTTTATTATATTATGTTTTAGAATCTTAGGTAAGATCTAAGTGGATCAAAGAACCAATTTGTAGGCTGACGGGTAGACTTACTGCTGGAGGAAAGAATGAAGATGCAGGTGAGAGAGGTGCTGGTTGCTTGGGGGTGTGGTCTCTGAAGGTAGCTCATAGAGGAATCTTTCATCAAAGGAAAGAGACCACTTTTCTCTGAGACAAAAAAAGATGGAGGAGAGACCAGGTGACTTTAAAAATATATTTTCACAATGAAATAATTTTCTTTAATTTGTATTTTGACAGTAAGGCAGGAGACAGAAACATCTGAGTGGGAAAATCTCAATATTCTTAGTAAATTTGAAGGCAAGATTGTCTTCTGAGGGTAAGGAAGGGAAATGGGGTACATTTGTGTTCTTAGAAATGGAGAAAGTTTGGAGTATGTACTCTTGCCATCATGCTTGGGACTTAGCAGCAAATGAATAAATGACTTCTGAAGAGGATAAAGATCTATCGGGATTACTCAGTTTGGATTTGCAGGGGGTCCTGTCAGCATTATTTCCTCATAATGGTTGGTAGATAGATATGGAAGCTATAAGAAGAAGGAGATGAACAGATAGTTGTGATTAGCAAACAGAAACTCAAGAGTTTGGAATTTGAAGGCAGGCTGCTCAGAATACTACTTAGGGTCCAAGGTTTGTAGTCCTAATGGTGGGGTAGCCAAAGTGATGCTAAGATAGTCACAGTAGCCAGCGTGCTGGAGAATCTTCAGCTACCAGGATGTTATGTGAACATCTCTAAAAGTCTCTATGGTATGACCCAGAAATGTAATGAATGTAATGAAGAGAGGAATATTGAACTGAACGATGAAATCCAGGTGAAATAGTGTCCTAGAAATTGGTAAAAGCACGAACTGAATGGTGGTGACCTTCTATAGAGGTAGGTTTGCTGAAATATGCCAGAAAAACAATATTCTAGGAGTGGCATGGAGGAGCAAGTAGGGAGAAGAATTTCTTGTCCACTTGGTGAGTGAAATGAGTAGAAAAGGTGTTAGTTCCTGTAGATAGTGCTGTGGAGGAAGTTGTGTCTGAGGAAAGATGGGTTCCAGGTCATGTGAACATTTGGATGAGACATGAATGTTTAAGGTATAAGGTAAATAAGAATTCAGCAGGGAGTCCATGGAATAGCTGAGCACCTGGATGAAAGGATAGTCAGTGGAGAAGAGCAAAGTGTAATTGGCTGATGTGGTTAATTATGAGACTATCTGAAAAGACGGTTTGTAGAAAGAGTTTGGATTCAGTGTGTCAGATTAGGACACTGGTAGGAGTTTGGAGGCATTTGTGAATGCCAGAGACAGATGACAGCATAGTCTGACCTCAGTGGCTTGGCTGAAATGTCCGTGTGGTAGAACCTCTAAACTGCCCTGGTCTCTGATGACCCTGGGTGAAAGCAACCCTTTAATACCTAGTGATTGAAGTGTAGGTGAGTTGATAAAAATAGGCTGTTTTCTATTAAATTCATGATCTGGTGTACTCATACACATACATACAAGTGCATGTGTGCAAGCACACTTGAACACACACACACACATATATATATGGAGCCCTGGTGTGGTACTCTGGGTTTAGTACTGGACTATTAACCACTAGATCAACAGTTCAAACCTACCAGATGCTTTTAAAAACCCAATACAGGGTCTCTATGAGTATGAACCAACTTGATAACACTTAACAACAACAACAGCATGTATGTGTGTGTGTGTGTGTGTGTGTGTGTGTGGTAGTGTGTATATAAGGGAACTCTGGTTACTCAGTGGTTAAAGCACTCAGCTGTGAATTGAAAATTTGGTTGTTAGAACCAACCATTTGCTAAGCAGCATAAAGATGTGGTAGTCTGCTGGTATAAAGTTTACAGTGCTACTCTGTCCTACAGAATCACTATGAGCTGGAATCAGCTCAGTGGCAGTGACTTTGGGTTCAGTGTCTATGTACTTATTGTTGTTGTTATGTGCCGTCGAGTCGGTTCCGACCCATAGCGACCCTGTACAGGGTTTCCGAGGGTGTAAATCCTTACGGGAGTAGAAAGCCTCATCTTTCTCCCGTGGAGTGGCTGGTAGTTTTGAACCGCTGACCTTAAGGTTCACAGCCCGATTCGTAACCACTATGCTACCAGAGCTCCTTATATGTTGTTTGTTATTAGTTGACCTTGAGTCAGTTTCGACTCACGGCAACTTTGTATGTGCAGAGTAGAACTGCTACATAGGGTTTTATGGCTGTGACCTTTCGGAAGTAAGTCATCAGGACTATCTTAAGAGGTGATTTTGGGTAGGTTTGCACTTCTAAACTTCCAGCCAGTGGTCTAGTACTTAACCATTCATGCTACTTGGAGACAGCATATGTATATATATTTCTGCATTTACTTCTATATGTTTCCTGTTATAACCCTATTACACCTCCAACTGTTTCCCAAGCAGATAATAATAAAACTTAGGAGGAAATTTTATTTGCCTAAAAATAGCAGCTTACAATTTTTCCATTGAAATATTTTATGCAGTTTGAATCATTTGAAATAAATATGGCTATATTCAAAGAGAAGAAAATTACTATTCATCTTAATAAAACAAAATAAAAAATTTCCATAGTGGTACAGTTTGCTTAATGTATCCACCCATTCTGTCCAGACAGCATATAACCACAGTGATCACGTCGCAATTCAGATATATCATTAAGGTAATCATATTGGATAATTTGGTTATGAAAAATGAGACTAAATTATCTGTAACTTGTATAACATCATCAGCAGTTTAAAAATAAAAGTGTGATTCATGCAAGAATTGATTATTTAAATCTTATTTTCTGCTGTGTTTGGAACATAGCATCCAGGCAGCTACTTCAAAGAATGTGAACAATAAATTCCCTTTTTGGACCAAAGCCAATAGATTCACAGAGAATAATTGGGCCTAAATTTTCAAAGATATCTGCAGTTGGTACAGCAATGGGCATAGAGGCAGCTATTGTTCTCATATCTTTATGTATAAATTAGGCAACTGAACATGCAAATAGCAAATTGAAAGCTAAACATGACTTAACAATTTTTATATATATGCATGCCATCTTTCATGTGCTTTGTGTACTTAAAATGTTGGTTTAGTTAAAGACCAGGACAGGAATACACAATAGACAAATCAGTTTCATTGCCTAAAATCTTAAGATCCAAATATTTTAAATGCTTAATTGTTTGAAATACCTCACAGTAAATCTTCTTTACTCAAATTTTTGGCTATATAACTTGGGAAAGAAAAAGAAAGTTAGGAATCACAAACAATATATCTGGAGATGAAGTCTGTAGCACTTAAACATGTAGTTTTAAACAAGACAAATAAGGTGAAAAGTGTGGCTTCTACTTTTAGATAAACAAAGTAGCTCAGTTAGAATTCAGTCTCGATTCAATCTAGACATTCATTATAGTTTATTTCAGAAAGAGCAGAAATACAAATCACGTTTTTGAACGTTTACAGTATTTGAATATTGGTGTCATCACTATACAAAATTAGTTTTGTTTATTAAAAAAAAAACCCCTAAATTTTTGGAGGTTATATTAATTAAAACTGATTTATACATAGTTCCAAATGTTTTCTTTTTGTGAATTTGTCTATATATTTAAGTGCTGTCAAGTCAGGTCTGTCTCATAGCAACCTAATATAGAGTTTCTGAGGAGCACTTGGTGGGTTTGAACTGCTTACCTTGTGGTTCACAGTCCAGTGCTGATCCTACAGCAACACACCTAGTAATTAGATTTCCTTTGACTAGATTAACATATACCTAACCAATAGTATCTATTTCATTATTACAGTTTTCTGCTGGAAAAGTGAAACTAAAGTTACTGAAGGAGCAGATTCAAGGTAAACAATTTACCACTATATTATTAGATGCTGAAGATGCAATTCTGTTTCCATTATAAAATTAAAGTGCTAGAACTATTCAGCCAATATAAACATTTTAAATGTCAGTGATGACCCTTTGTCTTTGATCTTTAATAAATTTTATTCAGTATTTTGGTGGGGTTATCTTTTGTAAAAAAAAAATCAGCTTAAAATGCAATCATAATAATAGCATTTTTAAATGTAAGAACATTCATAGCACTCTCTCTTAAATGTTGTCAATATAATGTTTTCTCCAGGAAGATAATTGAGCAGTATAAAATTATATTGCAATTTTAATATTGAAAATATAAAGAATATTTTTAAATGCTTTATGTAATTTAATGAAGTATATAATACTAACAAAAACTGAAAATGATTTTTTCACACATAATGATTCAGAATGAAATAAGTCTTGTTTTTCTAGTAGGATAAATCATTTTGGCTGGTTAAGATGATTTGGTAGGCTTCCAAATGTCAAGGAAGTCAAGTAGATTTCAAGATAAATAAGGGAAATAAGGGAAAATGAATAAATTACAGGATAACCTCAAAGAAAATTAATACACATTCACAATAAAATAAACTAGAGGAAAATCAGAAACATTTAGTAAACATTGACACAAGAGAATTGAAGAAAATGAAGAAGAAAGCCTACAAACAAAGTGTACTTAGCATAGAAAATTATGTGGAACAAAGTAATCAGTGGCACCACAAAAAACACACACAGTGAAATGACAGCAATCAATTTACCTATGGATAATTACACCGAATGTCAATAGATTCAGTGCACTAGTAAGGAGACAGAGTTGCAGAATGGATAAGAAAACAGGATCCATCAATAAGCTGTGTACAAGAGTACAGGTTACACACAAGCACAGGAATAAACTAAAAATCAAAGGATCAAAAAAAAAAATGTATCAAGTTCATGGTACATAAACAAGCAAGAGTGGCAATATTAATCTCTGATTAAATAGACTTCAAGGCAAACACTAGTATAAGAGACAAAGAAGGACATTATATCATATCTAAGGGGTGAATTGAACAAAAAGACATAATCATAGTAAATATCAATGTCCCCAAAGAAAAAGCTTCAAAATACATAAATCAAACTGTGCAGAACCATTTTTCTGCCAAGGGCCACTTTGATATTTATAATATCATTAATTGTTGTTGTTGTTGTTAGGTGCCATTGAGTGGGTACTGACTCATAGCGACCTTATGCACAGCAGAACGAAACACTGCCCGATCCTGGGTCAACCTCACTACTGTTGCTATGCTTGAGTCCATCGATGCTGCCACTTGGCCAAGCCATCTCATTGGGGGTCTTCCTCTTTTCCTCTGACCCTCCACCTTACCAAACATGATATCCTTCTCTAGCAACTGGTCCCTCCTGACAATATGCCCAAAGTATGAGAGACAAAGTTTGTCCATCTTGGCCTCCA